ATTATGAAGATTTAATTATTAGAATACACTAATAACAATAATAATAATAATAGAATATAGTTTTATTAGAATACAAAAAAAATTGCAATACAGATGGTAAAATACATATAAACAATTTCTGTTTAACAGTTTTAAAAGACCAAAGAATATTTTTTTTTTCCATATTCCTGTTTGTTTCACGGTTAGAAAAGCAGTTATAGCATAAAGGAGTCATCTACTAGCACATTCTTCAGTTGAATGCCAGTCTTGGTTTTCTAACACAGCTAGTGAGGCATGTGCTCTGATAGCAAGATATAAATAGAAGAATCCTGTATAAATATACCTTATCTGGTTCCTTTTGTTGTACCTCAAAACATGTGGAAAGTATGCTGCCTCAATTAATTCAGGGTGTGAAAACACTCAACATCTACTCTACAGAAGGTATTTTTCTACTGCCAGTACTTCTTGCTCCTGAGTTAATAATAACTTAAATGAAAAGTTGTCTGAAAATATGCTGAACATAATAAACAGGAAATATTGGAATAACACTATAATAGGCTTAGAGGCTTAGAAGTTTAGAAATCACATGCTGTACATTGTAATGCTAATATATGTGTATTTAATTTATATAATGTATTGCATTTTTATGTTAATAACATCCAGAAAAAAGACAAGAACAACAAATAATGCAATATGAAGATGCCTGGTCAACATTTAAAACCAGCAGCTGTTCTTGAGAAGTTTTATTAGCATCTAAAACTGGGAGTGGTCAGAGATAGGCCTTTGCACTGATTGAACAAAAGCTATCAATAGCAATGTATTAAAATCAGAATTGGAAAAAATAACAGTTTCATCCATTACAAAAACAAGTCCGCAGTGGTTAATATCCCAATTCTAACATTTGCCCATTTTCCAGTGAGCCTCAGCAAACGCAAGGTGGAGCCACTCACAGTCTTGTATTTGCATGATGACATTATAAAGTGTCATCACTTTGACAAGTCGGTCTCACCTGCTCCTTTCCCTGACTTTCTGGGTGCTCATCAAGGCAAATTAGAAATTGGACTTCAGTAGCAACCTATTGGCTGAACAAATAACACCCGTAGAAAAAGGAGCTGCAAGCTCAGCTGTAACCCTGCCTCAATTGTCAGCCAACAATGTGTCCACAGCTTACCTCTGAATCCCTCAGCATTAAACCAAGGGCACCAGGCAAACATAATGCCCTATTCTGTCACCATAGGAATCTGACAAACGGGGGATTCTAATCTCGTCTGGAAATGCTTTTAGGACGTTATCTAGATTTGGAAGCGTGCATTAGTGGGCCTCAGAAAAACAGGTTTGTTTTCTAGGCCTGTGTAAACAGCAATTCCGAAAGTCTGTCTATGAAAGAAATTGGCTGTGGTGGGTGTACAATATGCAGTTCATATTCAGTTTATTCAGAAACATGAGAATTTCGTGTTTTTTTAACACTGTAGCTACAGTATTTTGTTTTACTTTTTTGACAATGCTTTAGTAAAAAGATGTTGATTCTGCGACAATCTTCTCTATTTGCAATGTAGGAATGTAGGAAACATTTAAAATGAAGCAAAGAAATCAGACCATCAAACTTTAAAAATTATTTGGAGCTCCATGTTTCATTAAAATTACACGAACATACAGCTATCTAAAAAAATACGAACTCATGAGAAACAAAATTTTTCTGAAGTCAGTGTTGTTTATTTATTGTAGCTCAAAATTGATTTGACTATATTCCCATCATTGTACTGTTCAACTGTAGAAAATCTGTACAAACTGGGGGAGACAGATGAAAACTAACGATGAGTGCATTTAAAAATGATACTAAGAGGCACTTCTGTGTACAAATGGCCATAGGAGTCAGGAACAAGCTACCCAGCCACAGCACATCGTCTAAACTGTTACCATCACTTATTTCGAGAAAAAACTGTGTGAACTCCTTGGCTTCTAGTATAATTAGCTTCTAGTGTAATTCTCTCTTATACTCATAAATACTTTAATGTTCTTATTTTCTGATATCCATAACAATGAAACTGTTGTTACCATCATCCTTTTTAAATTAAGAATTAATGGAAGCGAAAACAGCTCTATCCTGTACAAAAGTCTGTCTGCAGAGTCACACAGTAATCTCTTAGTGGACAATAGATGGCTAACAATCTGGCGCCACTCACGAGTCCGCTCTTAATACATTTTCATAGATGGATGAACATAAAGACTAACTGGACATGACACCACCTAAGCTCCACAGAGCCTTAGTCCTGCAAGAATATGATTGCATATGTGTACCCTATTCCTCCATAAACACCAATGTGTATTTTTTATGAAGCTGATGTTTTGCTGACAACAAATATCAGTATTGTTGTGGGAAATTCTTCATCAGAGGAGCAGGACACAGTCCTGTGCAGATTCAGTTTTATTGAGCTCAATGAGTCAGACAATGCGCTCTGGGTCTGCCCCACAGAACAGACAAACTGCAAGGGTTTCCCAGCTCTTATATACAGTCAGAAGAAAGTTTGTTTCACAATCTGAGTGCTTGTCCTGTTCTTTGATATATAATTACCGCTTGTCCTACTCTGTCTTGCTCTAGGTTCTGTCCTTTGATATGCAGCAGACATTGGTCTGGTTTATCCTGTTTGTGGGTGTTGTTCCTGTCTTTTATTATGTAGCGTATTAAGCCACTGGGCATCTTAGTGTAACTTTTGTTTGAGGCTTAACAGACCCCATCAACACCTCTCACAATGTGCTAAAGTGGTGATACTGTGATGCTGGATAAGTGAGATATATAAATGTCCCACTTCAGTATGTTCAATATTTAAACCTCTGCCAGCTATTAGGAATAATCAACAATAATCAAAAAAAAAGAGAGACATACATGCACCTCAGTATGCTAATCCAAGATTGTACTAAACTCAGTAAAATATTTGTAAGCACTATAGCTCATATAATTCCCTGTACTGTGTGGAAAGCAATGTTTTCCATCATTATTGCAAACTGTAAGTCTGTATTGTACTACCCTGATGATTTAATTATTATTTGCCAATAACTTTAGAATTAATTGGTTTTGGACAATTTATAGCTTGTATGTGTATATTAGGACGATATGTATACCTTTGCCCAAAAGCTTTACTTACATTTACTGTAAGCTTATTCTGGCCTTGAACCTCTGAATTAAATTAATTTGTGCACAAGAAAAAAAAAACATAATTGGCAACCTTCAGATATTGTACAATCTTTCTCAATCCTTCTGATCAACCCAAAATAAAGAAATATTACCTCCTGCCTGTTAGGACCTCTGGGTTTTACAGAACCAATTTAAGACAAAACGTTCAATTCATCTGATGGGAACTCATTTATTCACATCCGTGCTCTTAGTTGTTCTCTGCTATTGTCAGGTTGTATGGTATGTAGGAGTGCTATTACAAGCATAGCTAAGTAAAGAAGTTTCCCTCACCTAGCAGCTGTTCAAATGATTGCAATATGCAGCTCATACTTTAAAGGTTTCAGCTGCCTTTGGTGACAACTTCTCTACCATGGAATCTTTCTGCACAACATTATGAAAACAATTGGGTTTTCTCTAGATTGTCACAATCTGCTCCATCTGTAAAACAAATGTCTATTGTTTTCATCAACCTTAACCATCCATGATCATAATTATGATGATGAGCTATCTGGGCACACAAAAATGAAATATAAGTATAAATTCTGTTATAAAACAGTCGATCCAAATTCAACACAATATAACAAATGTTCGGCAAGAACACATTTGTTGTTGAACCAGAATAATCCAGATGAATCAATATATGCTTTGTGAAGTCGGAAGATCCTGGCTATTAGCTAAAAGATTATTCTCCATCACATTGGCATGATACTAACTGGGTAAGGCTCTTGTGTGGTCTCTCATTCCACACATTCTTAGAGAATGTAGAGATAAGTCTATATTATTATGTAAGCCTATAAATAACTGAAATGTATAAAAAATCTTCCTTTTCCTTATGATCTTGTGAGAATGGTTATGTTGTTCTTTGCATTTGTTTATTGATAACGTTAGGCAAACGGGAAAATAATTTGCACCAAGTACTGAATACTTTGTGCAAATATTCCCTTCTGTGATTTACTGAAATAAAACTAAATTAATTTACAATTTGACAGCACAGTATTTGAGGTCGTGAAAATAAAGTTTAGCCAATTAAAAAAATCAGACTAAGATATTGTCAATTAAACCTTTTATTCATAGGTCCTCTAATTTGTAATTGATTTTTAAACAATAAATTTAACATCAATATTGTTTCCACTATATTTATGTACAGTATAGTGGTATTCTGTTTATTTTTACATGATTGACCGGAGCAATATAAAAGAGAAGTTACATCTGGAAAAAGAAAATTAAAGCTACAATCTGATTTTAAAAAGTCAATTAAAATGTTTCTTCAAAAATGTTGCCGTCACATTTTATATAAAAATAAAGATACAAATGTTTAATCAAACTTTTTCTTGGGGAGTTTAAAATGGTTAACAAACTCAAAATGTAATTCCATTTATATGACTCAGCTAGCTGATGTTCACAATAAACCGTAAACTCATATACATGAAGAATAACATTGAACCTTCTCTTGTGCATAAAAAATCATAATAAACACAAATAACGCTCAAAATAGGCAAGATAACATTAGTGTAATGAATTTTGTAATTTAAAATAAGTTTACTGTTATATTGCTAATGCTCATAAAATATATATAATGTCAAAAAGGTCACCAGTTCCTTGAAAGGCTTTTCTTCTTGCTACTCAGTCTGTAATTGGGAATACTGTATATTTATCATTCATAACTCTATCAAATATTTTATGACAAACATTAAAGACAAATACAAGATAGTAAACTTACGAATGTGAGAAAATCCTTGTTTTCTTCTGTTTGTCTGTCTCTGTGATTTCAACTCTCCTCTCAAAAGCTTTTTAAAGTCCCAGTGAATCTCAGCTGGTACTGGTGTTGTCTAATATGCAGGAGCGACACTGTGCCTGCTGTGCTACTGTCCTTTGCGCTGCCGTACGCTTGTGACAGCTGATTTTTATCTAGCTATGGTGGGAGGATGAAGCTAGCTGACTATTTTTGGATGGTAACTGCTGGTATTCCACCAGGCTGAGTCAATCACTGATTCTGGAAATCGTCATGGGAAGGGGGCAGCCCACTCACCCATCGTTCTTGTGCTTTTAGCACCTGACTATCCACGGCAGACCCACTCTGAGACAGTGACATCACCAGGTACTTGATTAAACAGGAGTACTGAGCCAACCTCTATACTATTCACATTCTGTTTTAGCTCTAGGGTCACGGTTATGGGAATTTCATTGCAAAGCCCCATGCGCTATTCCTATTAATACTTCTGTGTAATATCATTAAGAATATGACTGAGACATCAAAACGATGTAGTTGTCTGGAAAAGCAAAAATAAAGAACAATGAAGTTAGCTAAAGGCGGCATATGGAGGTACAGTAGATATCATTGCTGCCTCACAGTGCTGCAGCCCTGGGTTCAATTCCACACCTCTGGTGCTATCTGCATGGAGTTCTCCCCGTGTTTGCGTGGGTTTCCACTAGGTTTCCCCTCACACTCCAAAGACATACTGGTAGGTTAATTGACTTCTGGGAAAATTGGGCCTAGTGTAAGCATGTGTGTGTCTGTGCGTGCCCTGTGATGGACTGGCATCCCCTCCAAGATGTGTCCCACATTGTGCCCACTGCTTGCTGGGATAGGCCTCAGCTTCCCCACGACCCTCTATTAGAAAAAGTTTGTCTGTCTGTGTAGTGTCTACCGCACTGGGCTAGATAATGGATTGCTGAACAATTAGCTACCCTGGCTAATACTAAAGACTTGTCATGGTTTGTTTAATATTTCTGTGATTGACAATTTCCTTTAGTACCTCATAAGGCATGATCTATTTCCTTGTATCTGCTTGTATTTGCTGTTTCTTTAAAAAAAATGAAGCTGTTAAGGCAGTGGGTTCTATCCGGATTTAACTCTCAATTTCACTGTTATTAATTATCATAGCCACGAATGTCAGCATTTGAATTTTTTTTTCTGTTTTCCAGTTGAAAGTATGATCACAGACTGGAACTCCTGAAGTCCAAGAAACTTTATTGTAAGTAACTCTGATTGTCATTGCTTGCTCAGCATTGGAAGTACTTATTTCCAAAAAAGACATTAAAAGAGTAAAACCTGTGCTGGCAAAGATAAGAAAATGCAATGCACATGTGATAATTTTAGAACCGTGATAGCCATTTAAACTAACTAACCATTCTGGTTATCCTGGGGAATCTGAGGCTGGTGACAGACACAGCTATGGAGGTCGCATGGATATGACCTATTTCAGTCTGGGTCTGACTCATGTGCTGTTCCTTGACTGTGTCAGAAGAAAATCCTTGAATGATGTGTGTAAACTAAACCTGTCTACAGCACCATCCTCATGTCCTGGGTGTTTGTGTCTTTGTCACCTCCTTAAATTGGACCTGGCCCATTTTCTGACTGCATGAGTACAGAATGTATATATATGTTTTAATGAGTGTACACCCTGGCTTTAATGCTATTTTTAGTTGGCTTACATGACCTCTTTAGCAGAATAGGAGCTGTTGTGGGTTTAATGGGTATACAGCTTACTCAAACACAGAAATGATCCATGTGTTACTTTGTAAATAAATTTGGAATTCATGCTGTGGAGGAAGTTAAATGCCCCTGTATTGGGACCTACACACCAAGTTCCTGAACATAATTCAAAGATTGTTTTGCATATGAAATAGAATTCAAGTTTATTCTGCACTGCTCTACACAGTATGCAGGGGTCTGGCAAGGAAAGCAGTTGTTAACTTTAGAATGTTGTTGAATGCCAGACTGCTCAGATGCAAGGTGTTTAAGATGCCAGTCACCAACTGTCGTGAAGCCCATTTCCCAATGTGGGGGGGGAAATAAAGTATTATGTTTACACACCTTTGATCTCCACATTCTCTCTCAAAATATACAGGACAAGCCTGACATCTATTACTGTACCTCTGTCAAGTTTGCAGTCAGACATTTTGAGTTTTATAAAATACGGTAGTATACCTACCTATAACATGCAAAGTTTTTAACATCACAAAACTCTGTTATTACTGAATGAGGTGAATTAGCTACCTGAACTGCGTAGGAAGTGTTTTAAAGTTGTTAGATAAAAAAAAAAATAATTTAAACTCACACATACACACATGTTTTGTTTCCTGTTATGGTGCACAGCACACCAGGAAGGGGGACTAGATTTTGTAGTGCAAAAGAAGATACATTTCAAGGTTTAGAACTCACTTTTATCTTGCTACAAGGACAGGAAGTAGCTTAATGAGCACACACACTTTGCCCTTTCTGTTGTATTGCAGTAGTCAATAACATTCTGTTTTTCACGACCTTTTGTCTGATGTTTATATTCCCTGGTCTAGTTAATCCCCTTTGCCACCCGCCCTTTCCAATTCATGGTCAGGCCTCAGAGACAAGTAATGATTGGCCTGATGTAAAAATAACGCTTTACCAAACTGGTCTGAGCAGGTTTAGTTCCATAATAATCATGTTTAAACACAATGATAGGGAGAGCAAACAGATCTATTTTAAGTGCATATGTGTGACACCTTAGGGCCTTAGCTTAGAGGTTAAAATATTTTTACTCATTTTTGGCATTGAATTTGATTGTTCTTTATATTGATGCTGAAGATTATTGTCCACGCAGCACTAAGTTGATTCAACTCTAATATGCCTTTCGGCCAGACCCAGAACTGAATAGATATTGTACATATCTACCTCATTACTCTCGGTTTGGCCATGGAATTCCATAGAGGACTACAGTATATGACAATTACATTTTAAGCAGAAATTCCATCTGACCCAGAAAAACTAGCATTTAAAAACTCTATGAAAACTGTTCAAAACAAGAAGAAAGTAAAAGCTCTTCAGGGCTGTACAGCATATATAGGAAAATGAAAGAACTGCCTGTCTTTACATGACAAAAAACTTACGTGCTTGACCCATCGTCTTGGCAAGAGGTGGAGACAATCCTCCTATCATTTCTCCTCTCAGAAATCTGTCTGGCCAGCCATGGGTCACATTCTGTAAGGGATAGGTGGTTAAAAACAAAGTTCTTTTTAGCCATTGTCAACAACCTCACATAAGATTAATCTCCTTCTAGGCAAACTTCGCAAAGTAAGAAATATGAGTTTGTGCAGTGAGAATAAACACAGCCACAGCACACAATTGCATTGCTCATAGCAACATAAAGACACACTTGAGTAAATGCACGTTATAGGTAAATTATTAAGAATTGACGAAAATTTGGGTAAAATATTCTTCTCCTTCTAGAGCTCTATTTTCGATGCACCTGAAATGGCAAAAGCTGTAAACAAGTCTATGATGACCTGGATGAGTTTCGTTCATGCAAATATTCACCTTGATTAAAAAAGGAAGCAGATTTTGATTGAGAGCTACAGAGGCGAGGCAGGAAGAGCTGCTGCCTCCCAATTCTTGGTTCCTGGGTGCAGTTTGGGCCCAGGGATTCTTCTTTGTAGAGCTTGCACATTTTCCCCATGCCATAATGGACTTTCTCCAGGAGCTCCAAGCTTCCTCCCACCTCCCAAAGAAATCCTGGCCAGATTAGTTAGTGTCTCTAAATTTTCCCTTTGGGATTGTGTGTGTCCCATGCAATGACCTAGCATCTCTTCCAGAGAACGGCCATGCCTTATGCTCTGAGCTTCCAGGACAGGCTTCAGGTTTCTGTAACCCATAGGGGGGTATAAGTTGCTTTCTGATAATAAATGGAATAATTATATTTTAATATTGAATGTATTTCTGGAAATGGCCAGAGGATAGCAGCAGTGATGACTAATTATGGTCTATAATTTCCAGTAAAACACATGGAAAAAGAAAAAAAAACAGAAAGAAGAAAGGAAATTAAAACTAAAGGGGTTTTGATACAAAAGTAATGGCACAATGCATGTTAGAGCAAAAACAAAAAACAAAAAAAATAACCTTATTCACAGCCTGCTCTTCTCTGGTTGGAATACTTTCAATTTCCTTTACTTCTGCTGATGTTACTACCTTCTGCCAAATTCTTGTGACTGGTCTCTCCCTTTTAGATGGAACAAAGACAGACTTGTCAGCAGTCAGTCCCTGTTTCACTTGAGGGCTCCTCCATGTCTCTTTCAAGGGTGACGTGGATTCAAAGATGGCCAGCAGTGACGAGATACTTGTTTCCCCCTGACGAGGGAGGTGCTCCATGGATTTGCTCCTCAGTAGATTTCCATTGTCATAATGAGCAGATTTCTTTGGCTTCTGTCTCGACTCAAACGTCTTCAAAAGAGCTTCAAATTTAGTGTCTGGTGGATCATCTCTGGCTAGGATCTAAACAGGGTAATTGAAGAAAGTTTTAGGATTGAAATAGGATATGAACATAATGGAGTGAATGAACATAGAGTATGCGTTGCCCCCCCAAAAAATGTATATTTCTTCCATGATTTTTGGACACAATGTGGGTTGTTTTCTTTGACACTAAATTGTTTGGAGTGATGTAAAAGTTTGTGGAGATTCAAAACATTGTTTTGAAAACCAAGCATTATGGTGTTCACAAACACAAATTGATATCGATTGCATATTTTGGTATAGATCATATACCAATATCATAAAATACAGTAGGTCAAACAATAACATTATTCTGATGTAAGCTAAGGTCTTAAGTGACTGTAAAATATTTTATTATTTAGTATCTTGCATTCAAGGTTAAATCATTCCAAGCATGTCAGTTGCTTTGTAATTTTTATACTGTTTCTCTATTATGTTTAAAAGGATCACTGCTATAAGGTGAAAACCATGAGTACAGAAAATCAAGACTTTTCCCCACTGTAGACAATGTGATTTATGTAGAAACAATGCTTTAATTAATGTTAAAGGTATCATGCACTAAATACTGAACCTTTTGCTTCTGTTCTTCTGAATCTGCATTCTTTAAGTCCAGTGAGGTTTGGTACCTGTAAAAAATATTTATAAAAGAGTGCAAAACTGAATCATGTTTTGTTCATGCATAGTCATCGAATTACAGTACTTAAGGTAAAAAAAAAACAAGTCCCTTGAAATGCTTGTACTTGAAGCATGATATTACAGTCCTGACATATTGTAATAAGATCACAAACACAGCTGAGAATATGTTAAAAGTTTTAAAGGATTTGGTGCCGAAGCTGTAAATTCAAAACTGCTGTGAAAAAAACATGAATATTAGAATCATAGTGTCAAATTGTTAACATTTCAACAGACCATCAGTGACACACGTACTGTATTTAGCAGTTTGGTGCTGAAATTGTGTGCAATTATACAGTATATTAAAATGCAATAAGAACAATACAGGTTAAATCAAAACATCAGTCCATGCAGTGATTGTGAATTACAATAGAAAAGTAGAGGCTTTCCACGCACACAAGAAAGAAGCCTTGGGCAAATAGAAAGACGTGGAATGAGTGGAATTTGAAGTTGGTGGGTGGATCAAGCTATTCATTAAATATGGGCCTTAGCCACATAACAGTGTTGTTTTGCATTTCCTGGCGATCATGCCTGTGCAGTAGCAGCAGGTGCAGATAAGGGAGGGGAAAAGTGCTTTTAAGTCCACATTACTTTCATGTTTTTTATCCATTCATCCATTTTCACAGGTTAGTCACAGGATAACCAGAGCCTAGCAACATGACCCAGGCAGGATAGACCCTGGAACAGGATGCTAAGGCATACACAGACACAAACAAACGTTCATTTCAGGGCTGTTTTTTCCCAGAAGCCAATTAACCTACCGTCATGTCTTTGGGCTTTGGGGGGAAAGCAGAACACCCAGAAGAAACACACATGAACATGGGGAGAATGTACAAACTCCACCCGGAGAGTACCCCAGGTCTGGAATTTTGGAATTCTGGAAGTCTGGAAGAGTGTCACTGTGTTGCCCAATTGTGGTTTATCACTAACTGAAAGCATTTCTGTCTGCAAACAATTCCAAACATACTGTGGTCGCAACGTAACTTGTGCAGTATTTACAAAATGATATTTTAATCTGCTTTCCTGTGATTTTTGAATTGTAAAAATGGGTACTTTGGGCTAATTCCTTTGATTACTTTACAAATGGATAAATACTTATATCTAATAATAATGAGAGGAGACAGTAGGTCATGAGAGCAGCTTTGAATTTGAAAATGTTTCTCCAGAATGACGGAGATAACAAGAGTTACTGGACAAACAGCAACAAATAATAATGAAATAGTCTGACATCCTTTGTTCATTCCCACTTTCATTCCTGCTTAAAATGTCTCTGCATTCCCCAGTTGCATTTGTCCTTGTTCCAGCACTTGTGTGCTGTGTTACCACATGCTTTGAATGCCCGATTTAAACACCACAGTGGTGGTATCATTCCAGCCCAGCATTGGTAGTTGGGTAGCTAGAATGTTATGTTACAGTATTTTTACATTTCACAAAAGATGCCTTGCATTTTGAAAAGGAAAGCAAAGCAAGTAAAAGTTAATTCCACACAGATTAATAAAAAAATGTTTCCATGATCAATCAGCTGTGATGACCTCTTTATGTACAGTATGTGTCACAGATAATTGTGTCTAATTCATTGTCTAATATCAGTAGTAATACATCCCTCCTACAATTCAACCATAGATTTTTATCACATGACACATTTGATCTCAGTTATGAAACTAAACTGGTTTCTCTTAAATACTTGCATTATTTGTTTGCACCGTTAGAAGAAGAGAAAATATTTTACTTACTGGGCCACCAGCTGTGAGACAGACTTTCCCTTTTCCCGAAGCGCAGCATCTCTCCAAGACTGCTGGCTTTCGGTCGAGATGTGTTTTAGGGACTGGGCCCTCCTCAGACTGCTTTTCATTTCCATTTTGGATCTTTTCAGTTTGTCTTACACACTTCAATCTGCCAAAGATCTGGTGAAAGATCAATTTTGAACGAGCAACTATGTCAACAAACAATAGCATATAAGTGCTTGACTGATAGTTGATCAGCATTATACACTTTGACAGCATGTATTTAACTTTACAGGAAAAAGAAAAGCAGGATTTATGTGGCACAGACCACACTTATTACCATGTGACCCACACAGACAAAAACTATGGCACCAAAGGGTCACTGAAATTTGATAAATCATTATTTCTTGTGATGCTATAGTGGTTTGTAAGACAGTTTATTTAGAGTTGTTTCCTTAGTCTGGCCAGTAAGCTTATGCTTTTTTATAAGTTACATACAGTAGAAGCTGCAATTATCATCGTAATTTAACCCATTCAGTCACATTAGCTAACTAGAACATTAATAAAGGAGTGCTTATTTCTGTGTCTGTAACACAACTTCTGACAGCCAGTGGTTTCATCTGTACAGTATGTACAATGATTTTGAGAAGTCAATAGTCAGTTGTTTGGTCAACATATTTGGTCTCCTTTGCCAAAAATAAACTGCTGGAACTTAGGATTGCTTATGGGATGCATTTACTGAGCATGTTTTAACTGTGAAGGAACTGTAAGGCAAAAAGGTCGTTATTACTGGTCTGTGGTTGATATCGTAAGTTTCTTTTTACTAAAGCTGTACGTTGTTTACAGTATACACAAACCCTAATAATCCATCTAATATTACCACCTTTATTAGGACATTCTTGAAGGAAACATACAGTACAGAATGCACTCCATTGTCAATATCCATGTTTTCCTTTAAAGACTGCGCTATACATAATTAAGGATATCAAAATAATTGCAACGTCCAACTTCCAAATAAAGACCTCTCAAGAACCTTTATTCCTTTCTTTCATTGTTCAATGGGAACTTGATATTGACAATGACATCCACTGCTGGTGTAAACTCTATATTCAGTCTAAGAGAAAAAGCAGCACTAGTGACTATCCTAAGCAATACAGGATCTCCAATTGGTGTTTAACCAGGTATGTAATGCAACAGCTGTTTTTTGTGTGTGACTCTCATATGACACTGTTAATGTTTCATTTTTCCTCTGGACCTTAGAATACTCACGGCACATTTGCATTGCGTTTTAATCAGAATTTTGTATTGAAACTGCAATTCTGCAGTGGTCATCATTGTTATATTTAGTAGCAATAGGAATTAGAAATAGTTGTAATACAAATGATCAACAACAATGAAAATTTAATAAATTGAAAATAATGTAAATAATTTAACAAAGTATTTTTTTCCTTCCCATGGTTTCCAGCTTTATAATTGTTTGCATTTGCAGTGGTTTGAATTTGTTCATATTGTCAAATGAAAGCAAATCTGTTGAAACAGTTTTCTATTTCGCGTGACTGTCTCTTGGCTTAATGGAAAGCAGGCTAAAAATTTAAAATAATATTTCCTTGTGCATTTCCTACGCTAGTACCCTTTAGATAGGATTTAACAGCACAGTTCATGAAATAATAGCAAAACAAAAAAAAACAAATACCTCATTAAAGTCCACTTCTTTCCATTCTCTTTTCAGAGATACTGAGGTGTTTCCGCAGTTACTCTCTCCAGACTGACTTGCAGGTTATTTCTATTGAGGAACAAGAGGAGCAAAGTCCGCATCTTAATTGCATTTGCCTCTCAGGAAGAGAATAAAGGGACGGATTAACAAGTTACTGTATGATGCATACTGTTATTGCATAAATTATATATACTGTACATTTCTTGGTCATGAAATAAATCTGCTGTATCTAACACTACTGATATTACTATTACTGCAATTAATACTAACAATGAAGAATTATAATTACTTCTAACAATAATATCCATCCTATTTCAGAACTTTGCTTTATTTTAGAAGGCCATGACGAGCCGCCAGGTCCTAACCTGAGTAAGACTCAGGTAGTGAGGCATCAGGACGGAACACCAGAGCAGAGCACTTGAATACAAAATAAACAATATTGATAGCCTATAACCTTGACGTCGCTGGTTCGCTCCTCAGTGATCTCACATTGATCTAATCAAGAGATGCCATTTACCTTATAAATGTAGTGTTGAGCAAGTCTTTTGGGGGAGTTTAAAATACCCTTCCATGTAACCCACCTGCCCCACTTTCTATTTACCTACTGTATGTTTACCCTCTTGTAAATTTGTATTCCAAACCATTTTGATATCAGACACTGGCATCACAATATGTAAATGCAATCTGTAATGTGTAATACTAACCAATTGCATACTTATTGCAAAGATGATCCAGAAACATCTTTTTGTCAATAATTTGAGGTAACTACCTTTGAGATGCCAAGAGGCTATGTGATGACAAACATCTCATATTGGCTGGATTGCTTACAGGATATTGGCACAACAGGCTTTGTCCTCTAAAACAGTGTCAGCAATGATTCCTGAATCATTAGGCTGTTCCTTGGGTACCTTGGTTTTGTACAACACTTCTCTTTCACAAGGAACATCTGTAATGATAAAAATGAACATACTGGTGTGGCAGGCACAGTGCTTACCCCTGAGGAGATGTGAACACAGTTGTTCAAGGGCTCGTCTCATCCAGATCCACACACCACTCCTCCAGGCAGCAGAGAATCCTGCTACACTAAAAAAATGGGCCTCCAGCCCAGATTCTGAGAGTGAAAGAACTCTTGAGCTACTACAATTCAGATACTATAAAGAAAATAAAGTTTGTGTCTGTCAATTAAATTCCACTGAACATATAGCCATGCACTGTTGCTGTAGTGTAATGTGGATTTAAGAAGATTTTGTTATGTGAATTTAGAATCATGATGAATGGGGAAGGGGTTGCAGGTTGAAGTCTGCTTGTTCACAGATTTCCTCTCGTCATTCCAGAGCAGCACAGACTATGGGAGAGGCAGGAATGGAATGTTACTAGACCAAACCATCCTCCAAGGGGAACTATGAATTCCAAATATTCACATAACATCTTCAAGACAGTCTGTGCCATTAATGTTAAAACTGAAGTACTGTAAATGAAGAAATTAATTAGCATTGTTAAAGAATGTAAAGTAAACTGATTTAAAAATAAACCAGATACTTTATATACTGTATATGCCCAATTAAAAGAAGGTCTGAGAGATATTGTACAGTATTTAGATCATTGTAGAATTCTAGAACTAAGTGATACTAGATGCTATTCTAGTTTTAGTCTGTGAGCCTCGATTATCAGTTTATCAGATGTTATGTGTTTTTGAAAAATTAGCTTTTTTGATTTATTATTTTTTACTGTATTGTTATGGGGAAAAACATGAAAATAAAATCAAAACTGAACAAGGTGGCATTCTCTACAATGACAAATTATACTGCATACTGTTTTCGGAAGGTATTGCTGATATTCCTTCAAAATTAGTTCACCACATCTTACTTAATCTTTGAGTGTACTGACGATTTTTGTCTGAAGTTTGACTTTTTATACATTTTAGACATTTCTTAAGCCTAAAGATTTCCACTTTTTTCTCTCAATGTGTTCTTTGGTTGCAATGGCCATATGTTTTATGTTATTGTCATGTTGCACAATAACAATATTTACTTCAATATTTACCAGGTGGTGAAGTGCCACCTGGTAAATACAAAATGTTTCTACAAACTTCAGATTAATTCTGCTGCTGCCATCATCAGTCATACCATCAATAAAGATGTGTGAGCCGGTTTATGAAGGTAAAGCAGTATCACAGAATATCAGCACTCATAAGTAAAGGAAATGAACAGGTTAATAAAGTTAATATTTACAGCTTCATGATACAAAGTTCTTTGGCCCTTTAAAGATGCTTTTTCAGTGTGCAGACAACAGTAGCATTAACTGCAAGATTTTTGCTTAAGCGTTCTTTAAATATTATGACATTAGGCCCTTCTTTGCAAATGATCACCTAATGTATTAAAGCACATAACACATGAAAATATTATATTTAAGGTTGTGTCATTTATGATGAATGTATAATAATATAAATGTACCACAAGAGTGGCTGGTTATAATTAAACAGTCACATGAATGGATATTGCATTCTATGTTACTATATGTATAGTAACATATAACAATTTAATACCGTATGTCACCAGGCTTCACTGTGTAACAAAATAAATGTTTCTTAGGAGTATCCATAAAATATTTGCCCTTTGAACCCAGGATATTGTTCCTGTATTCTCCAGGTTCTGCATATTTCATATAGAAATCTATTATGTGGGTGAAGGAAGGACATATAATAATAAACTGAAAGTCTCAGCGTATGATTTAAGGTCAAGGATGGCATTCCTCAATTGAAAATCAGTATTAAAAAATGACTGTGAATTATAAAATTGCATAAAATTAAATCTCATCATATTCACAAAAAGTTAATGTTTTCCAGGTCATCACCAAGAAAAAAAGAAAACAGGACAATTTTGTTTTTAGAGCTCTGAGGTTTGGAAATCATTACATGTGATTCCTACTCTGAAACAACCTTTGACACCAATGAAAAGGTCTTGCGCATTTTAAAAAAAACCTTTCATTTGAGAGCTTCTGAAAATCAGAAATAACCATGTTTGTGTTATAATGCATATTCTTATCAATTAATTGTCAACAATGCATTTTGAATCCCTTCAGACAAACATTTTCAGTGACATTTAATAATACTTAATTTGGAAGTACTTTCATAAAAAGATGTTGAGAAACTTTAGTTTTACATGAATTCACTAATGTGTTTTTTTTGCTGGCGCTGCTAAAATACTGTCAAAAGAAAAACAATTTATTATATTATGGCCCATATATTGTATATGCAATAGGTTTATTCCATGCTGAAAAGAGAAGTAAAAAAACACAGTGTTTCAACTGTGGAGCCGAGGAAGAAACGTAATGTTTTGTTTCTTCTCTTTTCAGCATGGAATAAACCCATTACTTGTTGCTTTGCGGCCTGCGCATGCTGATGCAGCTACCAACCTTAACTACTATTATTGTTTATGTTAAGTGTCTACATTTCTTAAACCCAATTAAATTTGTTATTTCTTAAAAGAACCTTCAAAACAAGTAAAAGTTGATCTCAGATCATTTTGTTTATGTACAGTATCAATTCTCATTTGTCGCTAAACACTGTACACTGTAATAGAATCTAAACAAATACAAAAATCAAGAGTGTTGCAAAATCCAGAATGTTTCTGAGTGGAAAAATGTTTTTAATAGAAGCAGCAAATCATTCTGTGAATATGACTATACATTTTTTTAACTTTCCAGCTTCCAGCATGGTGTCCATAATTGAAACATTCAAGACTAGTAGGATGTTTTTTTTCCCCACCAGGAAGAGGATACAAGACATTTTAAGCAAACTATGCAGTTAGAAAAGTGGTTAAACCCACTAGTGCTAATTAGTGCTAACCCACTTTCAACAAACTCATCTATGACTATGACTATGTCCTCATGAATCTGATGAAACATGATTCACAGCAACATTATTTTGGCAAACCGATTAATTCCAAAACAATTTGTATAAAAAACAAAGCTTTTTGGAACATACTGTATAATTCCAAGACAATTTATATGAAAAACTAAGCTTTTTGGAGCATACTGTATAACAGGTGAAACATTATGTTCTAAAGTGAAACTCATGCTAAGAGGAAAAATAACGTTGTTGAATCTGCTTTAGTCTGCAGACAAAGGACTCCACAATCCTCCTAGACACACCCTTGTATACTGAGTGTTTAATCAGCCCCCTGGGAAATGTCTCAATTAACTTCAATCATCTGTTACAAAGAATACAGCTCAAGATGGGTTGGAATCCCAGAACATTACACAGGGTAAAAAATGTACAGATCTCTACACCCATAGTAGACCCCCTTAAAAATGTTGCCCCACATTTGTTCACAATAAACAGAAACATTTAAAAATAAGTCATTGGAGACACCACACCGCTCCTTTACATTACTAAACTCTATGACACTTCCTAAACTCATTCACATCGTACATCCATGTAAAAATGGGAATTTAAAACCCTTCACCAGTAATGCAATTATTAACTGATTAGACCCGAATTGAAATGATTTACAATTTTTAGAGTTCTTTTGGAGGCCTTTAGTGTGGCTGCTACTTTGGTGCCTGTATTGACCAGCCTGCATATTTTTACTAGCAAGAAAAAAAAAAATCTTGTACAATCAAATCAGCCTAAATTGGATATAGATAAACCTGTATACTATTAAATTATTATCAAATATATATAGTGATGCCATGTGGGGAGGCTCACAAGAGGGGATACATGTTCTCTAGGCTGGGCACCAACCACAGACTCATCCCACACACAAGTCTTAAAGTCAGACTGTTGTTTATTGACTAGAACTTGGATCATAGAACTTGGTGTAATACAGCTTGTGTCTGGCACAACACCAGGCAGCCCAGACAGTATCAGAGGTGTGTGCAGTTAGCCTTGAGATTGCAGATTTACAGTAATCCTGGTGGCTGTGTCAGTGAGCCAGCAGCCTGCACCGTAAGTGAGTGACTGATAATGCAGTGATGGAACAGCTGGTGTTCAACCCGGATGCCAGTGAAACAGCTGAGGAGCTTCCAGTCTGTTGGCTGTACTGTGAGGTCAGCAGCCTAC